GTATATTCTTGCTCAGTCAGGACAGCTTCCTACCTGGTGTAGATATTAGGGATTGGCCGCTAACAAAAGGTTTAATCACTTAGCTAGTCCAGTCCGGCCCCTGTACAGAAAAGGTAACTGAATTCTTATCCAAACAATTGTCTCATCCAAGGTTGTGTGGCCCAAAAGCCATCATGTCAATACGTCAATGCTGGAATGTTATTCCTATCCTTCCGGTCAGTTCCTCCGATGTTCTCATGTGTTGGACAACAGGAGTTGGACATATAGATTCTTGAGTGGTGAAGTAGATTGCTCCCCAATGATCCCGGCATAGAACTTTTCCTCCCTCTTTTGTGGAGTAAGGATGATAAGTTCTGTGTACAGGGGGGCTTCAAATGTTCATGGAAAAATGGAAGACTAAAGGAGATTTTCCCACAAACGTTTTGAATCTCCCTCCTATAGGACGGAACCTCACAAGAGGTTCCATTCTCCCAGGCCCCTGTAGTACTTGACACCCCAGGAAGTACCATGCACACACGCTGTCTGTTTCTAATCCACGGCCGGCCGTCAGGTAGAGAGACATGGATTGTAATTCACAGGAGTGGAGTGAGGACAGACTTTGCGAAGTCACATAGCTTATGCAATGGCAGCGCCCTGGCTCTGACCTCCTCTCGGGATCGGACTCCTGTGCTCCCCGCCCAGCACCACCCCCCACTTGAGGATCATGGCGTGCATGCTTGGGGTTATCTCAACGATCTTTCTGCACAGTCTGGCCATTCATCTCTGGTGGCTGAGGCGCGGGCTGGGTAAGGGCAGAGCCACTTCGTCCGAGGCGGCAGAGGAAGTGGCCCAGCCAGGAAGTGGGGCCACATTGCCAGGTGGCACAGTTGGAAAGACCACTGTGCTGGCCCTTCTCCCAGGAGACCTGTGCTAGCAGGCTGGCACAGGGGTGTAGCTGACAGTGGGATTTCCTCTCCTGTCCATGATGGGGTGGTAAGTACTTAATGATGTCTCCTAAAACATTCCTTGGCCAGAGGCTGAGTGTGTGCCAGCGGTCATGGCTTTAACCCCGCCGAGCATCACAAAGCCCTGGAGGAGCCTGGGATGCTTCTCTTAGATGCTTACCCAATGGGTTCCCGCTTTTTAGCATGCCCCCCTGAAGTTACTCCCTGCCTGGAATTTATTCTTGGGCCAGCCAGTACATCCCTGGCAATCAGTCTGTGGGACGGTGTAGGAATAATTTCATTTCGTCCTTGGCGACCCGGTGGTGTCGTGGTTACACACTGGGCTGCTCGCTAACTACAAGGTCAGTCGTTCAGAACCACTAGCTCCTCTGGGGGGAGGGGGAGACGAGGCTTTCTGCTTCTCATAACTCACTCATGCCACCAACTGGCAGCGATCATTTCTTAATCAACGTCGTGGCGCCATGCGAAGACTGCGTGAGACCCGCTCCTGGAGAAGAGGGACAGTGAAGCGAGGACCCAAGGGAGGCCACATCTGAGGCAGGCAGGCACAAGGGCACTGGAGCCAGCCCGTCCTTCACGGCACCAGTCACCTGCTCCCTCGCTTCATGTGTGAGCCACTCACAG